GATGGATGGATGGATAGATAGACAGTAATAATATTCTTGATACTAGTGTTGGGAAGGTTACTTTGGAAATGTAATAGGTTACAGATTACAAGTTACCCTATAAAATGTAATAAGTAGTGTAACTATTTCAATTAATTTATTAAAGTAACTTAACTGATTAAATTTGATTACTTTTTAAATACTTTTCTAAATTTCTAAAATAATTATGTTTTCAACTGTTAATCATTTTGAAACATTTAAAGCAGACATCAACACTGATTACTGTCAGACTTTCAAAATCTTTCTTAACTTGAAATTAAGATTAGAATAATTTAATTTTAAAGCACAGCCACCGTAACATCAGACTTTAGCACCTCTTTTTACTTTGAGATCATTCTGAGATAAATACAGATTTAAAATCATTACAAGAAACCGTTTAATAGATATGATACTGGTTTTGAAATCAAATCTTTGTATAGCTATGACAGGAAACACTGGAGTCTAACGATGCCTTGGGGAAAAACAGTTAGGCTAGCATCTTAAAAAATAAAGCATATACATAAACCCAAAAAGGAAATAAAACAGTTCTCGAAAAAGCTTATGTCCTCTTCTGTGTCCTAAACTTCTGAAACATTGGTGTCTCATATTTTAAAGCATGTCAATGCAGTTTGGGAAAGAAATCAATCATATCTGTATGTGTGTGAAAATATTCATAGGCCTATGTAACCGCCTTTGTAATCGTTAACATGTTAATAAGTAGCTAACTGTTCAGTGATTCTCAGTAGGCTAGTTGTAACAGTTACATTTATTTTGTAATTAAATTACGTAATTCGGTTACATGTAACTAGAAACTCCCCAACACGGATACCTTTATGTCAAATTTATTTTGTAATTAAATTACGTAATTCGGTTACATGTAACTAGTTATAGTTACTTCCCAACACTGGATACATTTATGTCAAATTAAAACATTTATGTATGTGTGTGTTTATCAAAATATTTTATATTAATAGTGACTATTATTATTATTAATATTAATATTAATGGTATTATTCAAATAAAAACAATCGCTCGTCTGCTTGAACATTCCGGTGTCCTGACATTTTATCCTACCAGTCTTATTGTCCTAGCAGGGCTTACAGCGCATGCGCACATCGATATTGCGTCATTTTTGTCACGCTGAACAACACGCCCATAATTTTTTACTACTCGCGCGTGGATTTCTTCCTGTAAGGTAAATTTTTGACTATTTCTGTTCGTTTTATTATACCAAGACAGCTAGCAGTAATGAGAACTGTTTAATGTCACATTACGTGGCCAGCTAGCACCAAGGATCATCTTTGTTAGCATTTTTCATTGTAAAGGTAGGTTATATGATAATCTGATTAGTGAACCATTTCAAAATTATTTGATGTAAAATATACTTTCTCTGTTATAGTTACACTGTAAAAAAAAAAAAAAAAGTTGCCCTAACTAAAAAAAAATAAGGCAACCTATCGCACTCAACTTGTTAAGTTAACTCAACTAGCAACCGACAACTTAAAACCTTAAAAACTGAATAAAAGTCAGTCTTCACAGGAACGCCCACCCGGAGGGCAAAACGAAGCTTTGCTCCACTGACCGCCAGTTATTTTTACGCAGATTGCATTAAGTAGTAAAACGCAGATATTAAAAGGCGAAATTCAACACCTTACTGATTATGTATATTTTGTACAGGCAAGCAGATGAACCCAGAATATAAACACAATGTGCAAAGTTTCACATTAAATGGTTTCCCATAGAAAACCACATCTGCTTGCCTATGTAAACTGTGCATCATTAATATGGTGATTACTGAATTTGATCTTTTAATATTACTGTTTTAAATATATTAAGGCACTTTAAGTGTTTTACAACATTTTGTCGCACTGTTTAATAATTGAAATATTGCCGCGGGCGCTTAAAGGGGTCATATGATGCTGCTAAATAGAACATTATTTTGTTGTAATGAATTTATTTGGTGTAATGAAATGTATTTATGTGGTTTAAGGTTCAAAAAACACATTATTTTCCACATACTGTACATTATTGTTTCTCCTCTATGCCCCGCCTTTCTGAAACTCATCGATTTTTACTGGTTCTACTTTTCGTGATGTTTTTGTACATATTTATTATCAAATTTGAAATCAAGCTCTTTCAAAACAACACCCCAAAACAATGTAATCATATTTGAGGAAATTAAGCTAGGATACATACAATCAAGCATATTTACAGACTGTATCCATTAATTAGAGAGTGCAGTTTGCAAACTGTCAATGTTGCTGATTATAGATTTTGTAAATTATGGTTATGCATGACATGGGCTTGCTGCCCAGATGATATCATGAGCCCAACTCATAAAGCTGAGCAATCACTCTTCCATAATCCAGACGAGGACATTTCTGGGGATGTGCATGTGGGACACACTCACTACAACTCATAAACACATGCTCACACAAACAAACAAAAAAATTATTAGTTCGAAAATATTAAAGGGGTCATATGATGCGATTTCAAGTTTTCCTTTCTCTTTGGAGTGTTACAAGCTCTTGGTGCATAAAGAAGATCTGTAAAGTTGCAAATACTAAAGTCTCAAATCCAAAGAGATATTCTTTATAAAAGTTAAGAGTATGTTTTTGTCTCGTCACTCCGGCCGGACAGGGCATCAACGGTATGGTAAGGGGCGTGACATTTCTGTCTCACGCTTGAGGTATTCGGCCAATCACAACGCACTGGATAGCTGGCCAATCAGAGCACACCTCGCTTTTCAGACCGATGAGCTTTGTAAAAATCGACGCGTTTCAAAAAGGCGGGGCATAGAGGAGAAACAATAATGTACAGTATGTGGAAAATAATGTTTTTTTTTTTTACTTTAAACCGCATAAACACATTTCATTACACCAAATACACAAAATAATGTTATTTTTAGCAGCATCATATGACCCCTTTAAGTATCCATTAAATCAAATTTTAAAGGTTCATCATTTTGATTTCTTCTTGCCAGATGTTGGAGATCACAATTTCTGCCGCAACCCAGATGGTTCAGAGAAGCCCTGGTGCTATGTCTCCGTGTCCGATGGAGCAACCAGAAAAGAAGCCTGTGATATTAGGACATGCCAAGGTAGCCATGTTCACTCTTACTTAAAATATATATTTTTTTAAATCACGGTAGCTCGTATGCATGTAAATGTTCATTTTCTAAATTCTTGACATTAAACCTTTGTAATAAAATAAATATCACAGAGCACTTTTGGGGGAAGAAAAGAGATGAACACTCCAGCATGAAATGTGATTTTGATATATGAAAGTGATTTATTTAACTCGTGTCTTTCTCAGGCATTTCACAACTGGGTCTTACTAACGTGTTACTCTGTTTCCACCATCTCATACTTTTAGCTGCACACTGTTTCTTCCAAGAACCTGGAGGAAGCTAATTTAAAAATATTTACGCAAAGCAGAAATGTGCAATGTGCAATCTACTTTTTGTGGGAAAAAGCAAATAGCTTTAAGAAAACATCCTCTAGGGAGTGAACAAAGTCGGCACCAAATATTTCACTTTCCCCAGAGCCTACTCTTAAAAACTGGAACTGAACCAAAGGTTACTTTTGCTATTAATCATTTTTATTTACATTTATTTGGTTTATTAACAACAACAAAAATACAATAGAGCAGAATGTATCCTACTTTGAAAAAAATAAAAAAATCTACTAGGCCAGTTGGTCAGTTTTAATCCACACTGATGCGGTTTCCTCAGAATTATCTTTTGACTCAACATGCTGCAAGGACAGATAAAGTTGAACAACAACACGAGACTAGACTCATCAGCCTTGAGCTTTCCTCAGTTGGGACAGACAAAGGAACAAACAAGGAAACTTGTTCTGTAGCTGTTCAAGAGAAGGTGTAGACCCCGCCCTCTGGGATTACGATTGGCCATGAGGAAGATGCACACCACGGCGACAGCTTCTGATTGGCTAGCTGAGCTGCGAACTAATGTTCTTTAACTCTGCTGGAGTGTGTAAACAGCTTTTTCAGAGTAGAGGCTGGTGGAAAAATTCTAGAGGGTTGGACCACAGCAAGAGAAGTTAATGTTCTCAGCTGGGAATTCTTCCTATGGGCCTCTGAAATATATCAGGTCCACCTAATGTCCTATTTAAATAAAAATAGCCAAACTCATTATCTCATTACGTGTTTCAAAAAGAAAAAAAACAAACAAAGTGTCGTAGTATTCGCCTAGTGTGTCTAGTAAAGGCTAAATCTTTGTTTGGAAAAGCATAACAGCACACTATTATTTCTGGGCTTTTGAATTGCGTTCTGACTCATTTCAGAATGTAATGAGCAGTTCTAATGTCTGTTTGTGTTCACATACTTGGGTGGAGCATGTTTTCGGACCAAAATCTCTGTTTTTTTTTGTTTTTTTTTAGCTGTTTGAAGTCAGCATGAGTTGAAGATTCACCCCATAAATTTTCTAAATGCATGTTAGTTATTTGAATGATTCATCCATGCAAATGTAAAAAAAAAAGTTTTAATCAAAATTCAAACTTCGCATAGACGTCTCTGGTGATGTATGCCTTACTTTTCCATTCATTTAATCCACTTACATATCACCCCTTTCTTACAATCAACTTCAAGCTCACATTCTGATCTGCCTCCATCCAATCAACAACCGTAAGAAAACAATTGTCCGTTCAGAGCACTCACTCCCACAGACCACAGCAAAACTGCTTAGTATAAATGTTTTGTTAATTGAAGGGAGTGCACAGCTGATTTACATTAGCGCACAGATTGAGAAAAAAACAGAAAAACACTCATATCCTGTTCATCCTGTCACCCCACAGACCAAAACTCCACAGAAGCCACGGCTCCAGAAGAGTCGGTCCCCACTCAGGGACTCACCCCAAGGATGGTGGAGACCTTCGAAAACGCTGACTCCTTCCCCTCGCAGGTGGAGGGTGCGGCGGTGCAGCCCGTGAAGGGAGTCCAACAGCAGGTCAGGAGTGGACCCAAGAAGAAGAAAGACCTTGGGACTCTCGGTAAGTGTTGAGTTGTCTAAAACATCAAACTACATCCAAGAACCGAGAAGTTCATGGGAATATTGGTTGTCTTTGCTACCTTGGCAGGTTATGTTCTGGCCGTCTTCATGATGGCCATTATCATCCTACTTGGAGGTGGCATCACAATGGGATACTTCTACAAACGGTCAGTACAACCTGCAACACAATGTTCCATTACTGTGTGCACTTAAGAATGGAGAATAGACAGCTGATGTCAATAGAAAAGCACAACAGACAAAATCCAGGCAAAAAAGGCTCTTCAGTTCTTCAGAATTAGGAGACTTGAGGTAAAATGTGTGGCCAGTACTACAGTTCATAGTGAGATGCTGGTTTTGATCGACTCCGAGTCACTCAGAGGTGCTGACTTAAAAGGATGTCATTGGGTTTGCTACATGCTTTCAAGGGAATAAAGTGTCATATCTCACAAGGGCGGGCATTAGCTGGAAACACATAGCAGGTTCATGTAACACTGTCATTTTAATGCCATTAGACACATGAGATGGTGAGTGGGTGCAGATATTGGAGGCATCTTGACTGTCTATATTTAGGAGGTTGTTTTGACATTTAGAAGTGGGTGTTGAGTTTGGGGAGGAACAGAAGGACTCTGAAAGCTGATATCAATAGAGATATCAATTGTTTTGTACATTTCTAATCACAGTGTATGCAAACCCGAACTAAATGTGCAGCAAATGCTGGTGTAGAAACAAGCCTTCAAATTGAAGGTTTCAATCTTACATTTCACCCTAAAATCAAAAGAAGGAAAAATTCCATGTGATATTTATTTTCTGTAATTTCCATTATTCTCTATTATACCTTTTCAGAAGAAATAAATACAGTAGTACAATGTGTGTTTTTTTAAAATATATATATTAAAGGCACTGTAACAAATGCTACACTGAAAAGTAGTAAAACTGTTTAATTGTCATTCAAATTCATTCTTGTTGGTTCAAAAATAGGTTTCATTTTTATAATTTCCTTTTTAACATTTTTTTTTTAATGTATTTCTGGTGATGTTTTATGTGATAATAGATGACAGTAAAAATCATAATTGGGGATATAATATCTCATCTCTATCTTGTAAAGCGTTTGGCAGGGCACTCAGTAGCCTTGGGCAGCATGTACTCGTGCGTCAGCTGATAATGTGTGTATGTCATCGTTTATCTAGCGATTAATTGGCTCAGTATTAATAAGCAGGGGCAGGATGTTGGGCTGAGAGGAGTGTTAACCTATAAAACTAGGACAAGTGCTGGGTAAGTGTAGGAGGATTGCATAACACACCGCAAGTCTGCCATGCACAGTCTGAATGGCTAGAGATGGAGTGAAAGGAAGGATAAGACGGGGTTTGTTTAGTAATATGAGATTTCTCCAACATTCAACTGCCATTTTCATGAAACGGTAAAGGATAGTGATTGAGATCAGTTTCTTCCTTGGCAGCGAGTGACGAATTAGAGCTGGTCCTCTCCACTAGAGCATTTGTCTAAAAATAGACAATACTGGAGACAAATCACTCCTTCTGTCTGTAGTGTGTCACTGTTAAATATTACAGTCTAGCTTGAATGGATATATTGGAAATGGAAATAATATTCAGAGGAAATAAAGTGGAAACACTGTTGAATAAGTCGTTCTTTTTGATTATGTAATTCAGAGTGGTTCTTCGAGTCGGTGTTTCCGAGACCGAAAGTATGCATTTGGAAAACTCTCTTTGGAGCAGTTTAACAAACAGGGTCTTAACGGTTAAAGTACTATCATCTTTAATCAAAGATCATGACGACATAACATATGACACATAATTTCCATTCACCATCATTTCCACAGGGGTCAGGCACAAAGGATTTGATGTGTGAATGCATAAAATTACAGTATAACAGTTCACTTTTTGTTTTTCAGGTCACAAAATTTAAACCAAACTTAAGAACCATTACACTTTTAATCAAGCTTTTAATTAAATATGATTTTAATTATTTCAATGGTCAAAAGACTGTCTAGTACCAAGTCACTTTTTTTCTTCATCCAATTCAAAATATTAAGTTACTAAAGTCATGTGATACAGTATACATTTTGAAAATATGCGAATATTAATTTACGAAAATCACTATATCCAGACAAACATGATAAACTTCCTTATGTTATTTATGGCTCTAAGAAGAAACATTTGAACAGCACAATGTTTTATGAAACTTTACACTCAAATTTGTAATGCTGAAGAATTTGTAATGAAAAAATATCTTAAATGTAAAAAAAAAAAAAAGATTTACAATTTAGAACGTTGAAAAAAATACGCAATATAAAAATTTCACTTGTGGTGTCTCACTTTTATACCCCATTCTATTATTCATTCAGTTGATGAGTGACAAAAACATGACTAAACCTGGCAGTGGTTGAAGTGAAATGGTTTTGTGTTTTGTCCCGTAGGGGTCGTGACCTCAAGAAACAGCACGAGCAGCGGGTTTACGAGCGTGAGATGCATCGCATCACTCTTCCTCTCTCAGCCTTTGCCAACCCCACCTGCGAGCTGGTGGACGAGAACACCATCGTCATCACGGCTGAACCCAACAACCAGACCCCCACTCAGGAGCCCGTCGAGGGGGCCGACCCCCTCATGGGGACAGCAGGGACCCCCGGAGCCTGATGGAGGAACAGGATGAACGCCTGTAAAGGCGTCTTGTTAAGACATGTCTATGCAGTATTGCAGAATCTCAGAGGACCAAACCCCATGTCCACCTTCCCTCTGCCTGTCGTCTCTTTTCTCTTTACCTTGCCTTTACAGCACGGTTTCACAGTAAAGGTAGGGCATATGCCTTGAGAGAGCAGTGGAAAGCTTTTTTTTTTGTCCCAGACGGTGTCCTTATTTCCTTAACAAAGTTGTTGGGGAAAGTAGGACATGTGGGGATACACTGGAAAAGGTGAAATGGTGGGTTTGTATAAATATGCATGTCAGGGATTCACGTGGAGAAAAATTGCAAGTACGTTTTGTGAACATCATCACAGGGCATGAACTTTCCCTGCTTGTTAAACTCCAATGAGACGGTCGGCGACAGTCCAGTTAACTGCTCCGTGTCCTCTTATGAAGTGTCGATGGATCAGATCACCAGATGTTCTGGGGTTTTGAAAGAGAAGACAATCCATTCTTATCTTCTTTCCTGCCTTTTCTGTTGTTTTTGTTCCTAATGCAGTTGTGGTGGAGAGTTGAGACTGAAATTGTACATGTGTATCTGAATCTGTTGCTTTACAGCTGGGCTGTTTATTCTGTAGGGAGCTTTGGTTAGCAACTAGAGCTAATTGAGTTAATTGCCTTTGATAGCTCTTTCCCAGAAATCCATATTCATTAGGCAGATCATGTGGCCTGGGATGCTAGAGCTAAGCTAGGTGAAGGTTTTGACTAAATGAAGAGGAAAGCTTTCCAGAGATCTTGCCTTAGTAAATTACATTTGAATGTATTGTTGCTCCTGTGGCCACAATCTGATAAAGAGCAAGTGAGCGCTGTCATGACTTCAGCAAACCAGTCAGAGTGGGTCTCTGGTTACATTTTCTATATCAGTGTTCATTTGTTCCTGACCATACAGATGGTCTGAAATAGGACATAGTTTGAAGCATGAACCTGAAACTGAGAGTCTTCAAGATGACGTATTAAAATAATGTACTATGGTTTCATTTTACAGAGATGGGATTTTTTTGATGTATGCATTTGTTTTCCCAGGGTTGATTGTACAACTGCTTAAGGTTCTGGAAGATCTTGTTTTTATTTTTAGCAGTTTTTTACTGCTATGAAATAAAATCAGTTTGAAGAAAATTATATCGTTGTCCTTTTTTGACATGTTTTTGCAGTATTTTCCTCCATATATCACTTAGTAGCTATGTTTACTTTCCTGCACGGTATGAGAGTAAAGGGGCAAAAAAAGTTCAGATGGAAGACTTGCTTAAAGTGTAGTAAACGCTGACCACTGCCTATTTGTTTTTGGTAGTATATAAGTACATAATACTCATCAAAATAATTTGGAGTCACTATGATTTTTAGTTTTGAAAGAATATATGCTCACCAAGGCTACATTCATTTGGTCAAAAATTAGTTACAAATATTACAATTTAAAATAACTGCTTCTATTTTAGTATATATTTTCAAATTTAATTTTACTTGGATGACAAAGCTGACTCTTCAGCAGCCATTACTAAAATCAGTTGAAAATTATATCGTTGTCCTTTTTTGACATGTTTTAGCAGTATTTTCCTCCATATATCACTTAGTAGCTATGTTTACTTTCCTGCACAGTATGAGAGTAAAGGGGCAAAAAAAGTTCAGATGGAAGACTTGCGTACAGTGTAGTAAACGCTGACCACTGCCTATTTGTTTTTGGAGTCACTATGATTTTTAGTTTTGAAAGAATATATGCTCACCAAGGCTACATTCATTTGGTCAAAAATTAGTTACAAATATTACAATTTAAAATAACTGCTTCTATTTTAGTATATATTTTCAAATTTAATTTTACTTGGATGACAAAGCTGACTCTTCAGCAGCCATTACTCCAGTCTTGATCCTTAAGTAATAATTATAATACGCCGATCTGGTAGCCTACTTTATAAACCATATATATATATATATATATATATAAACCTACTTTATACTCTATAAATGTTTCAAATGGTTAAGGTACTTAATGAAGTCTGGAAACCGCAATGTTTTTTTTTTTTTTTTTTAAAGAGTCTTTAAAGTTTTAAACTTAACCGTTAAGTCTCAACTGTAATTTTTGACAAATTTTTAATAAATAAATGTTCCAAGTTGAATTTAAACTGTTTGGACTGATCCTTTGCTGGGAGTTTGATTGACAGGCGATCTGACCTATCATAAGGAATCTGCCACTCTGGCCAACAAACAAACCAGACGGGAGAAGATTAACGACGGTGGACTTGAACTTGAAAAATTTTGTATTTATTTACATGTTTCTGCTTTTGAAACAAAATTTGTTCATTCATGTTTATTTCGTGCTATAACTAGTAAACACGAAGAGATGATCGGTTCACAAGCTGCTTGAACTCAGGCGCAGCGTTCTGTCCCGATACATTAAAGACCAACAAAACAGTAATTATTGTTAAAATTTCATAAAAATTACAACATTTTAAAGCGGAGACTTGTTTCATACCAAAAGTAACCTGCTCTGTCTTGTCTGTCAGCGCGTTGTCAGTGTCCTTGCTTCGCAGTGTATTTTTCACTGTAAGAACATGACACCATTGCTTGTCGGACGTAGCAACAGTAACTAAGGGGGGCGGGTCTTTGCGAAGGTGCTTTATGCAACCGGACCTTCCGCGCCACTCAGAATCACGAGATCATAAATGGCAAAATTACGTCTTTGAAGTCATGTATTGGTGTTTGAAGTGAATACCGCGTGGAGCCTTTATTAACGGCTTCGTAAAATAACCGGTTGCCCATTTTGGTTTGAAACGAGCTTTTTTAAGGTGCCTAAAATGCCATCTGAAATTCTATTTTGGAGTCTAAGCGTGCAGTGCTGGGGATACTCCAGGAGCAGGTTTGGAAAATATTACACTACGAACTCGTTATGTGTATGTTACGACTTAACAAGTGGCCTCTGTTATATTGAACTTATTAATCCAGTGAAATGTCACACATAAAACGTCCTGGCCATTGTCAAACTGGAAATGATAGGTCAAGTCGACCACACGGCATTGTGGGATATAGTTTTGGAATATTTCAGCAAATCTAGTAGGTCTTCTATAAGACTTACTGTTTTGTGCAGAAATAGTAACAGTTGAATGCTGTTCAGAGCAGAACTACTGTCAGCATCTTATTCTGTACACAACAGCGCCTCCATGTGGCTGGTTATTAACACTTACAAAAAATATCAAATTGTGAGTGAAAAAGAGAGGAAAATGAAGATAGCCAATACGTACTCATCTTTATTCATGAAACATTAGTGTAAGAAATCCTGTGGCGTACAAGTAGAGGTTATAATTTTATACATGTCAGTACCTTTAACAGATAAGACTAGAAAAACAGCTTTTTACATTCTACAAACATGAAAACTACTCATCCACATTAGCCCAACATATGACAACAAATCTATACAAACATGAACAATATATCCAGTTAAACATTAGTGATCAAAGGAAGGATGACATTCATTTTCAAACGCCTTCACAAAACGTCACTCGTTAAATTCTGCGTTGCAGACATTTTGATTACAGCCTGTTTCAGTACTGAGCTAGAAACGGCCGGTCAAGATCCAGCATTACGATCTCACTTATCATTTTACTTGGAGAATACAACTCCAGAGCTGTTTAGATACAGAGAAAAATGATCCTTGCCCCGTCATGGTATATTTACAAGGCGAGTCCATGACAGCGGAATAAACTACTCCAGTTTTCAAATAGCTGATGTACCAGGAATGAACTACAATGTAAAACGCATTTCCAAGAAACCAAATCTGAACTCAGAAACGTATTATTTTCCTTTCATAAGTGTTTTCCCTCTCTCTCTCTCGTCTTTAGATTCTAGAGTTACAGAGGTCAGGACTCAAGTGCTAGTGACACAGAAACAGTCAAGGGATTGAGTGCACTTAAGCACAACGGCCTGCAGGGGGCAGTGTGCTTCAACAATGTTTGCTTTACATTCCTAGAGTTCAATTTTGTGACTCAATAGAACCTTCCATATTTTTATACTTTGAAATAAACAGGTTAATCACCTGAAAACATGTCCTGGTCACATTAAAACCAATTTTAACGTTTACATTTCTAGGACAATTAAGCACATTTCCTCCTAAATCTTTTTTTTTGCAATTCCCAATATTCTCAATTATGTATTTATTATTTAAATTGGCATAAACAATACAACTTTAAATAATATCATTGCTCAGAATGTGGGAGGGGGGGTGTGCATAATTGTCTTAAAATCTAATCCTAATGGCCTCAAATGCCTCACTACTTTATAGTGTGGGGTAAAATATGACCCAGACATGTTCTTGACAGGTTTAATGACAAACACACTTTTATAATTGTTGTGACTGAAAATTGATCAATTTAATGGATGCTACACTATGAAAAAATCTGACATTTGAAACTTCATTAGAGAGATCTAGAACTCAACTAGTGGTAAGCACTCTTAAAGGTTTGTGCTACATGGTTAAATCAAAACTAAACCATCCACAGTAGACAGAAGGGGAAAAAAATGTCACAAAGAAGCTCAAGGTCACTGAAATGTACCTGTTCCTTTAACAGAACTCTTTTGCAGTTCTAGAATGCCCTCAAAGTTCTGAGCGTCATGACAGACCTCTCCGAAGAACACCAGCATCAGCATGTTCCCAGTATGCAAACCCAAGGTAAATGCTCCGATTCAGTTCTGTAAACTCATCAAAATCCAGCCCACACCTCAGCATGTGCTGCTGTTGGATTAGTCTATGTTGTTTTCCTGGTTTTCAGAAGCAATTTCACTGGGTCCATAAGTCCTTAAAAACGTCTGCTGAAGATCATCCAGTTCTGCAGGCAGAGGGATATTCAACTCCTGATTCAGAGCTAATGCCTCAAAACAGTCCTCCAACTTCTGAAAAGCAGGCCTGAAGAAGACAGGAAGAGGAAAGAGGTAAGAACACAAAGTATTTCCGTCTATTAATGTTAATCACCATTATACATGTGATATCTAGATACACTACTGTTCAAAAGTTTGGGCTCGGTATGGTTTTTAAAAGAAGTCTTTTATGCTCACAAAGGCAGCATTTAATTGATAAAAAATTCAAAGCTCTAATATTATGAAATACCGTTACAATTCAAAATAACTGTTCATTTTAAATCGTTTATTATTCCTGCTGAATATTCAGCAGCCCTTAATGCAGTCTTCAGTGTCACATGATCCTTCAGAAATCATTTTAATATGGTGATTTGGTGCTCAAGAAACAT